TTAAAGTATATAATTAAATATTTTTTTAAAAAATATCATGGATTTACACCAATATATAAAATGATGCTTGTCTTAAGAGTATGTTTAGTAAAACTTATAATAGTTTTTATTTTTTTTATTATTTATGAGTAATAAATTTAAAATTTTATTTAAAAAATTAAAAATTACTTAAAAAATAAAAAATTTATAAAAAAATTTATAAAAAACATAAATTTAAAATTTTTTAAAATTTCATTTTTTAAAATTTAAAAAACTAAAAAATATAAAGATTTTCAAAAAAAATTAAATTTATAAAATATAAATAATATACAAAAATTAAAATTTTTACAAACTTCACCAAACCTACCTAAATTCCTCCTCTTGGAGAGAATCTCTGATCCAAATAGCGCTTTAAATTTTATATAATGGTGAATAATTAAGCGACAGAGAGACAGTCAAGTATGGAAGAGAGCGGAAGCAAAGGAAGACAATTGGGGGAATGATGGGAATGAAGAAAATAAAATACAATAATTTATTATATTTGTTGGGAAAGATCACATTAGATTCCTTACTGAAATCACAATCTTTTCAAGCATAAAAAGGCTGCCTACAATATGGTACCTCTTCTCTCCCTCCCATTTTGGTTTTTGCCCCTTTCTCTCCATCACCCATTTGTCCCATCATCACTTTTTTTTCTCTCATCTGTCCATCCACCCATCTAATCTCACCTTCCCTCTTCACTATTTTTACTTTTTATTTTTTTAAATAAAATTTTTACTGATATTTTATATAGTAAAAAAGAGAAATTTTACTTTTTTAATTAAATTAAATTATAAAATAAAAAATTTTGAATAAAAATTTTTTATTTTATAATTTAATATAAATGAAACTGTAAATCAGTAAATTCATTTGTAAATTCCATCTACCCCTCACCTCTATGCATCTATCCGCCTGCAGGTGGATATGCTACCGGATATTACAGTGTTCTCAAATCTCATGGCGTGCTGCCTCAGAACTCAGAAGCTATTGGTGTCTGGAAATTGCAGTTTGTGCCTCTCAAAGGACATGTGGATTAAACTTTTTTTTTTTTTCTAGTTTTTTGGGTAGGCAGCGGGTACATTGACAGCAATTTCTCCTGAAAAACAGAAGCAATAGTAATGACTTTTCTTTTTAAATTTTCTGAGTGGCATTTCATCGAACAAGTAATGAAACACAACATAAACCCATCAAGCAATGAATTTTCTCTCACAAAGATTGATTTTTTATGAACAAATGAAGCAAAACTGTAGAACTTGTAGAATCTTTAATCACCAAAATAAAAAATGTTGGTCTTCTGGAAAAAAAAGTTAACAAGGGTGGGATTAGGGTATGAATAAAAAAATATATATGGAAAAGGGTTTTTGGAGCACAGACACCTCCCTTCATAGACGGGCGAAAGAGACGGAAGATCAGGGACAAACGTCAGCAACATCAGAAAGACAAGTACCGATGCAAGCATGAGCTCCGGCACACTTCTTGCTTTTTTGGACAACGAAATATCACTTTCTGCCTTAATAGTAATATCATTCTTTTTCTTCCTTCGCTCATTTTTTTCAAATTCAAGTTTCGGTAACCAATATAATTTTCTAGATTGGCAAATTTGTTTCATGTAATTTTTTTACATGGAGCTCTTTAGCTCCTACATTTTAAATTTGGTAATTTTCATCCATTGTTTGAGGAAAGTGCCTTTTCAACTTGGGTACCTTTCTTAAAAAAGTAGAAGATTTAGTTGATTACATACCCTAAACACATTTTTAAACTTAAAAATTTTAAAAAATTAATTGAAAATTAAGATTAAAAGTTTAATCAAACACTTAACTTATTTGATGTTAAAAAATAAAATAAAATAAAAAAAAAAACGACCGACCAAACAGGACCTTATTACTAGAGCGCCAATTGCCACGCTATAGATAGTATTGGTTTGGTCCAAGCCTCTGATTGTCCAGAAGACAATTATCTGTGCAACCTAACCTGTACTTCTCTCAACTTTTTCGAACAGAGATATGAAGGGAAGGATCACAAATATTTACAGTGTCAAATGATGTCAGCGTATCAGAAGAAATAAGCAAAGACATTTGCTTGGGAAAGCTGCCTATAGGTTTTTTCTTGTTTGGGAAGTTGATGCTGATGGTGCCTTTTTACCTCCCTCCCATTGAAAACCTACATTCAGGACCCCAAAACCAAGCGCAAATTGTTCTTTCCTTTGTTATCTCTTGTTTGTTTTCACGCCAAAAGCTTGGAATAACATTTCACAAAGGAATCCCTGCTGCAGCATCTGACATGACTAAACAAGCAGTACTTAGTAAAGGCTTGTTTGGTGGGGGAATAATCATAATTAAAGAAATCAATTATTTTTTTCTTTATAATTAAGATTCCTAATTCTCCCCATGTTGATTGATTAACTTTAAAAGAGTTAATTTTCCCATCAAAGCACCTTTGAAAATTCCCCTTGCCGGAGTTTGGCATTAAACAAGGATATCCAAATATAAACAAGTTCATGATTCATTTTAAATTTGGTGTACTTTCTTCTTTTTTGTTAAAGAAGAAGAAGATACGTAACGAATTTTAGCTTTGGACTGTTTTAACCACTTTGAATAATTGGGAAAAAAGATTATCAATTAATTAAGCAAGGAATCGTGGAAAGGGTTTATATTGAGCATCATCATCCCTTACCAATGTTTCATTTCATAAACCACAAACTCACTTCGTACTTGGAATTTGAGGAAGTAAGCAAAACATGATATCTCTTTATTCTTTTTTATTTTTTATTTTTGTGGTATATGTTTAATCTAACTTTTGAAAAGGTTTCCCTATAGTAAAAGTTGAAATTTATTTTTTACTATTAAATTTACCGAATTTAGTTACATCACATTGCAAAACACAAATTATTATGTTAAATTAAAATTATGTAATTTAATATAGTTTAAACTTAGTTAACATCTTATTATTATTTTTTGAACATCTAAAATTGATGAGAGAGAGGAATGAGAATTTTTAAGGCTGGGCTTCGTAGTGTGGATATTTTGCATGACAATGCCCCCAGGTTCATTTTTCAAGGTAACGAGCCCAAATTATTTGGGCTGAAATCGGTCAGAAAGCCTGTTTACTGTTTAGGGCTACTTTGGTGGACTCACTCTCTCAGCAGACCACTAACAGAACAAGGCATACGAGAAGGTCCATTATATTGCGGGGAAAGGCCCAATTTATTTGAGTGAAAATGGTTGAGAAATCTTGTTTTTGGGTTCATGGCTTACGGGTTAACCAAATCTTAAGATTTAAGAAGTCCAGTAAGTATACTAAAAAAGCAGGCCTTTTTTCTTTCTTGGCCTACACAGGCCTCTTTGCTCGATGCCCATATATATATATATGTTAGAGATTAGT